GTTGGGATGGAACCCAGGGCTCTGTGTAGGTCTGACAAGGCTTTGTCCCTGAGCCCCGCCAAGCCCACCTCCCTCTTGTGAGACGCTCCTTTCTTGGGTGGCCCTGGTCTTCCTGTCTTGGAGCAGCAGCACTACACAAGCTGACACTCACTGCTGCAGCGTGGTGACCAGCATGGGAACCACTCAGACCTTACTCGGGGTCAGGGTCAGCTTAGTGGAAGGTCAAGTACACGGTACTCCTAAAGCAGACTCTGGAGGAGGTGTGAAGAATGCATCATCCAGCCCATCTTAAACTCCGTGAAGCACAGGTCACGTGCTCCCATTCCACCTCCATTTGCTTTAGACCGAGGGGAGGCCCTTCACTTCTCTTGGGATAAATTGTGGTTGTCGTAGTGGTGTGTAGTTCCCGAAGTTTTGCCTAATGTCCACTGCCACACTGAGGACTAGCACTGTTTTGTCCTTGCTCTTTGTGTTAAGATGTTACTCTGAAGCCCTGGTTGGCCTGGACCTTAATAGGTGAACCAGGCTGGCTCAAAGCTGTGGCCATCCTGCCTTTTCCTCCCGAGTGTTGGGATTGTGGCCTGTTTTCTCCTTTTCAAAGTCTAAGCTGAAAGTTGTTTGTCGTCTGACAGGAGAAAGAGTTTGGTAAAAGGAGAGGTTTGCTGTGTATTCACTGTCCCCTCTCACCCAAACAAAGTGGACTCCCTAAGCAGTCCTCCAGAGCCTGGGTGTGACTGTACTACAGTTTTGATGATTTTTTTTGTAATGTAACTTGTTCAAGAAGTGCTGTTTCCCACAGGCGAAATTTCCGCCCCACAGTGCGCCGCTTCCAGGTGGCCTGCTTTCCCTTTGGTGTGCAGACAGTAAATAAACGCCGGCTTTGTGGAAGCGGCCTGACTCATCAGCAGCCCCCTTTTAAAACTGACCAGTAATTGACTTCACATGGGGACAAGGGGAGCTTTACAATGCGTCCCTGTGGCTCAGGGAGATGCCTCGGCCACAGCTTTCCCCTTATTTCGGATCAGGGTGTGAGCACCCATCACTGTGCAAACACTGGGATGTGTCTGGTTCCAGGGGAGGCACTATCTTTCCTCCTCTGAGAAGTGACCCTGCAGTGTCTCCATGGGCAGAAATGTCCCAACTTTACATAGTGACAGCTTGTCCTTGGGTAGGATTGCAGCTTTCATGAGGAAGATTCCAGAGAGTGAATGCCTGTTCTTTCCGCAAGTGGATGGAGTGAGGGCTTCTCACACCAGAGGTTGTGCAGGACAGTGAAGTGGACAGGCTGAAACTGGCGGAGATGCCACCCTTGGTGGTTATTCTCTGTGGCTCCTTATTTGCCTCATGGTTGCTCTTGCTGTCTCTGGATGTCCAAGGAAGGGAAGCCTGCCTTGGTTTTGACAAAGGCAGAATTGTTTTTCTCTGTAGAGATCGAGTTTAGTTTCTATGAAGAAAGTCAGACAGGTTTGAGATTGGCAATGGACGGAAACTGTGAGAAGGAGGCCTGCAGTGAGCACCACCACTCCTGGGCAAAGCTCGTGGCTTAAAACCTGGAGATCTGAGACGTGCGAATGTGGAAGTTTCCATGCAGCTGATGCAGTGTGTGGGCTCAAGTACAGGAGTCCCCTAGGCTCACGTCCACACCAGTGACTCATCCCTCTGTGTTTCACCTCCTTTCCTTACCAGCCCTCCCCTTGGAGGCGGGATTCTGAGTGGAGTCTCCCTAGTTTTCAGTGGATACTGAGAAACTATTGAACAGTGGGCATGCCTCACTATTCTAATTTCTGTAACTTCCTTTGTTCTGTAGATACAGATTTTCAATGCAATGCAAATAAGATTTTCTCAGTAGCATTAGCTTTCATAGCTCTAAACTCTTGAGCAATTTGCATACCATGAAGAGATTCTGAGTGATTTGTACACTAAGTGGATCAGCTCTAGAATGTAGGCATTTATACTTCTGCTGAGTTATTCTGGAATCTTGCCAGAGTTGCATGTAGATAGGGTTTGTTTCTTCATATTTAAACTCATTTAGGAAATATCTACAAAGTAAAAATGAGGGGAAGTAGAAATTATTTTTTAGTGAAGATTTTGGTCTACATCCCATCAAGTTGTAATGGACTCACCAGTTTCTTCGGGTGGCAATAATCAACATTTGGTCAGAGAGAGCACGTTTATTAGTGAAACTCACAGCAGACTTCTAAAGGCTCATCTTTACAATTATCAAAGTGTGTGGAAAAAATTTAAGTCCCAAGCCATAAAAATTCAGCACCCAAGCCATAATGCTGACCAAACTGGATTGGAGTATTTGTTTATAGAATTCCTTGGGTAGGAATGAAAGCCCATTACAGAATGCTTGCATTTTCTTTCTTCTCTCTGGAGCATCAACACCAGTAGATTGCTGGCAGCTATTGTATTAAAAAAGTAAATAAATATATTTTCACTATCAAAGAATTCTTTTGTCTCCTTCATGGAAATAACTTGGTGTAAAAGTGTTTGAGAGTGCTTTTCTGATATGATTCAGCACATTTAATAGGAAGGAAAATGAAATGCTATCAACTCACAACTGGTGTAGTGAATGATTTAGTAAAAACTGATACTCTTAGCAAAATAGGGCAAATTTAAAAATATTTTGTTTTTATGTACACACACACACACACACACACACACACACACACACACACACAGGCGCGCGCGCTCATGTATGTAGGGGTGCCTGCAGAGAGCAGAAGAATCCTCTGGAGCTGGAGTGACAGGCTGCATGTTGTGGTCCTGAACAAGAGCGATAAACACTTTTAACTGTCAAGCTGACTCTCAGCCCCTGGACCAGTAATATTTTTTTAACCCGATAAAAACTTCACCAGTAACTTTCCAGAAACTGTGACAAGAGCATGAAGTGGAAACTGTGTCCCGTCACAGCTGCTGTCCCTCTGCTTTTCACAGCTGCTGTGAGGTCACCCCAGCAGCGCAGCGAGAGTGGACGGCATGGGTGTGGGTGGAAGCAAAAGAATGATGGCGTCTGTGTAATCTAAAACAGTGTGCAAATTCTCAGCAGAATGCAGCTGAATTCTACATACAACATTAAATATATTCAAAAGTCAGGGCTGGAGAGTAGCTTAGCAATTAAGAGTGCTGCTCCAGAGGACCTGGATTTGAACTCCCAGCACCCACATGGTGTTTCATAACTGTATCTCCAGTCCTAGGAGATCTGTCACTCTCTTGGCCTCCTTGGGCACCAGGCATGCGCGTGATGCACAGACACAGGCAGACAAAACACCTAGATATATATAGTGAATTTAAAGATTTAAAAGTCAGTATCATTGCCATATACTCACACTAAGCAAATGAGAAGTTAAATTGCTAACATCAGTTTCTTCAGAAGGAGACCTGGGTGGTGGAGGAAAAATAAGTAGGAAAAATGTAAGCTTATATAAAGTACCTGTTTTGAAAGAAATTATTTTGGTTTTTCAAGACAAGGTTTTCTCTGTCTTCATGCCAGCACTCGGGAGGCAGAGGGAGGTGGATCTCTTGAGTTTGAGGCCAGCCTGGGCTACAGAGTGAGTTCCAGGACAGCCAAGGCTATACAGAGAAACCCTGTCTCGAATAGAAAGTTGTAAGAAAAAAGTTAGTAGTGCACAGAAACAGGAGAATAACATCAGACCTCCCAATAGAAACCCCAAAGCCAGGAAACAGCATCATTTCAAGTCCTGAAAGTAAATAATGGCCAGCCGAGATTCTTAGATCCAGCGAAGTTCTCTTAAAATTGAGAGAACAAGGAGGCCATCTCAAGACAAGCACCAACTGAAACAGCTCATGACCACCACGCCAGTGTTGCAGAAAATACTTAAAGGAGCCCTAACATGGGGGAAAGGAGAGGGGAGAAGAACAGATTTCCTATGATTGCATGAGCAAAGGCAGCTAGGAAAGGACCCATTGTGTCCAACACAGCCAGACACCCCTGGCGCAAGTAGAGAGAGAAAGGAGCAATAATCCAAACCGGAATAAAAACCCAGTTACAGCAACTAGCAAACCTCTCCCAGGACCCCTAAGTGCAAATAGTCTTCTTCCTTTAAAAGATGCTGATACCTCAGACTGAGAATCAGACCCACGTGTGATCTGGTGTGGGTTTCTCAACTTGCCACAGTAGAGTCACTTGGGAGAGAGTCTAGAGGGATTGTCTAGATCAAGTTGGCCTATGGACATGGGAGGATTTTCTTACATTCATCAAATCATAGAAATCTTTTATCTTTAGTTAGGCTTATATCTCGGCTTCTGAAGCTATTGTTGATGAAATTTTTTTTCCTTATTTCTAAGAAAAGATTAACTTATTTCCTACCAAAACTCCAGTACCATTTTTCACAAAACTATATATCTATATATCCTGAAGTTTATATGGGAAAGAAAAATACTCTGAACACCCAGAATAATCATAGAACAATGTTAGAGATATCAAATTATGCTTGGAGTCATAGTAACAAAAACAGCATGGTACTGGCCCAAACTCAAGAAATGTAGACCAATGGAATAGACTAGAAATAAACTCATAGCTACTGGCACCTAATATTTGGTAAAGGTGTCAAAAAAATTGGAGAAAAGACAGTAATGGTGCTAGGAAAATTAGATATCCACATGAAAAACAAAACTAGATGCCCAACCCTTACCCTGTGCAAAAGTTGATTCAGATGGGTCAAAGCCATAACAATGTAAAGCATGAATCACAGCTAGGGGAGAACATAAAATGTAGGCACATTCCTTGTTTCTTCCCTGTTGCTGTGACAAAATACCCTGCCCAAAGATGTCCTTGAGGAGGAGGGCTTTATTTGGCTTACGTTTCCATGTTAATCCTTACAGGGAAGGTAAAGTCAGGGGCAGAGAGGATGAATGCAACCATGCCACCAGCTTGCTGGTTTTGCTCATCATTGCCCTTCACTCTTAGTTCAGGGCCCAGCCTAAGGAATGGTGCCGCCCACAGTAGGCTGGGTCAGTGAATCGACAGTCTCCCACAAACATACCCTCAAGCTAACCCCATCTAGACAATTTCTCACTGAGGCTCTCTTCCCTGATGATTCTAAGTTGTGGCAAGTTGACATTTAAAACTAACCACTGCAGGCGAAGGCATAACATCGAGAACAGACACGTGGGATTGCAGGGTATTCAAAAGCTGCTTGCTACACAGCGAAAGCAATTACCAGAGTGGAGAGATGCCTACAGATTGAAAGAGAATCTTTACCAACTGTCCTGGGAAAATCTTCACCAACTGGGAACTAATGTCTACAATCGGTATAGATTTTTCTTTTTTAATTAAAAAATGAACCATCAGTAGGTGGGCAAATGAACTGACTATAGTCCTAAAAGAAACAAATGACCAGTAAATATTTGAAAGACCATTCAACATCCTTAACTAACAGGGAAATGCAAATTGAAACTATATTGAGAGAGAGTCCATTTTACCCTAGCCAGAATGGCTATTACCAAGAAACAAATGCCTCCCAGGGCTGGAGAAGGTGCTGAGCAGTTATGGGCACTCACTCCTCTTACAGACCTGAGTTGGCATCCTGGCATCCACTCTGGGTGGCTCCCAACCACCTCCTACTCCAGCTCCAGAGTATCTGTCCCCCTGGCCTCTGAGGCACCTGCACTTGTGTGCACACGCAGAGACGCATTGTATAATTAGAAAATCAAGTGGTAAGTGCTAGCAAGGATGTGAGGAAGAACAGCCCCCATTCAGGTGGTGGGAAGGCAAGCTGGTGCAGCTACTATGCAAGTCAAAATGAGGTTCCCAAAAAATTTACACTAGAACTAAATCACCCAGATGTACCACTCCTGGTTATTAACCTAAGAGCCCCCAAGCCGACGTATCCCAGAGGTGCTTACACATCTGTGTTCATCGGAGCACTATTCCTAATAGCTAAGCTATAGATCCAGGCAGGTGTCCCAACAAGAGAGGGATGCATTAAGAAAATGTGGTTTAGCTGGGCAGTGGTGGCGCACGCCTTTAATCCCAGCACTCAGGAGGCAGAGGCAGGTGAATCTCTGAATTTGAGGCTAGCCTGGTCTAGCTAGCCTACAGAGTGAGTTCCAGAAAAGGCACCAAAGCTACACAGAGAAGACCTGTCTCGAAAAACAAAAATAAAAATAAATAAATAAAAATTTAAAAAAAGAAAAAGAAAATGTGGTTCATGCACAATGGGAGTATTTTCAGCCATAAAGAATGAAGTTGTTCCCTGCCTTGGAACAGCTTGCTCCAGTCTCTCTTTGAAGAAACTGAAAAGAGGAGGAAGAGAACAGGAAAGTTGTGTCCTCTACAGGAAGATGGCTACCACTGTGCCAGATCATACCGTGTGAATTACCTCGGAATCTCAAAGGTAAACGGCCTGATTTCTCTCATTTGGGCGTCCTGATTTTATATAGATACATACAGTCATATGTGTACAGATGACATATGGAAGTAGAAGTGAAACTCCAGGGGAACAAAGGGGCCTGCCTAGTGGGAGGGGAGGGCCGTGAAAGGGAGGATGATGGGATATGGGGGGGGGCATGCTCAAAGCACATTATATATTTGCTTGAAAACGGCCTTATGTGGCCAGGTTTAATAAAGCGAAGCAAGAGGGAGACAACATTGGGGGGGGGGGCGCTGCAGAGAGCTGGGAGCAGGGTGGGGGAAGGAAGGAATTTAGATATGAAAGCAGAAGGGGGTAATGTATTCACAGCATCTTGAAGCATCTTTACAGTTGTGCCGTCTACGGTACTCAAATAATAGAGACAGCTCACATGTCTGACTAGTGGACTGGCATGTAGATCCGTACAGTGAGTAATACATGAAAAGACATGAAATACTGACAGATGCCACAGCATGGATGAACCAGCAAAACTGTTCTGTGATACAAGCCAGACACCAAAGGTCACATACTGTAGGATTCTGCATATTCCAAGTGTCCTCGGTACTGGGGAGGTGGAGACGGGGCGAGGGTGCGGGGGTGTCCTTGGAGTTTGCTGGCCAGCTTACTAAAACATTGAACTGTAAGTTAATCTGTGGGAGCAATCTGGACTCCACGTGTGTACATGCTGAGAGAGAGAGAGAGAGAGAGAGAGAGAGAGAGAGAGAGAGAGAGAGAGAGAGAGAGAGAGAGATCCAAATTAAAGCAAAGAAAGGAAAAGTTACAAAACAACTGAAAACCAGGAAAACAAGATCCACACAAGAGGATACCGCAGCCTGAGCATGTGTAATGAAACCCTGGAAGGGCAGGCCAGGCCAGTGGGCTGGAGCTGCATTTGATGGATAATGGCTGAGAATTTTCTGAAAGCTAATTAAAGGAGTCAACCCCCAAATCCATGAAACATCTGTAAAGTCCATGCGAAATAAAAACACACCTAAGCACATCACGGCGAAACTGCGGACCATTTAAAACAACCAGATAAATGGCACAGAGCCAATGAGGGTGACCAGGATGGCTTTGCAGCTGGGGGAGGTCCGCCAATAAAAGTTCCATACTCAGTGAATGCGACTCCACAAGGAGGACAACCAGGCAGATCAGGCTCTGACTCAGCTTAAGGAGGAAATGGGACTCGGTGTGTAGCCCAGACACTGGAGTGATTGCTTAGCAAGCCCAAAGCCCTGGGTTCAATCCCTAGTACCGAGGGAACTGCGGTCTCAGCTCTGAGGAGGTGAAGACAGGACCATATGATACTCAAGGTCATCCTTGGCTAGTTAGTGAGTTCAAAGCCAGCCTGGGATATATGATACTCTGTCTCAAAAAAATTTTTTTTCAAAGAAAAGAGGGGAGGGGGAGGAAAAATTTAAAACGTTTAACAACCAAAATTTAAAACATTAAACAACCAAATAGACCCAGCTGATGTGTGTAGAATTCTACATCCAGCAACTTCAGGATGCAGGTTCAAGTGCACATGGAGCTTCTAGCAAAAGAGAACATATACTCTGCTCTGTAATTCAGGCCTCAGGAAAATCCCCTCTCAACCGGTGCTGACAGGCTTCCCAGCCACGCTGCCATTTTAAACGCTTCATCTAACAAGCGTGAACTATCACGTTAGTAACGGTTCCAAGTGCCTTACCTTATTAGAGTTCTTTCAGGATCCTAATATAGAGCATTCTCATTTAGGCATGAGGAAACTGAAGCCCACGGGGTAAGACACTTGTTTAAGGTCAGCTAGGAAATGGCTGTCCCAGCGATGGACTGCAGCGGTATGAAGTTGTGCTGTGACCTCTGAAGCGTGCGTGCTTTTCTCATTAAGGTTGCCAACTAAACGAATTCGATTATCAGGTAAACTGAGGCCCAGCTGGGGCACACTCAGCACTGGGTTTCTTCTCTGGGGGGCACATCTCTTGCGACAAGCCCAAGTGAAGAGGCCCCAGGCTGGGACAAGCTGTGCCCACCCACCCAAGAGGTGGGCCCTGGTCCCAAAGCTCTGGCTGTCACCTGGGCTTTCTACAAATGCCCGGCAGGGGGCGCAGGCGACCCTCTCTCCGGCGCCACTTCGGCAAACGGCGGGAGGCCAGCTGCAGGCCGCGGCAGTTTGGGGGAGTTGTCAGCTCAGATCCGCAGCGCCGCCGGCTTCCTTCCTCTTTATCAGATCTGTCAGGGCCGCGACGTGTCGTGAAGGCACCTCCGGCCTCCTTCCCTCCTTCCTGTGGCGAACGGACGCAGCCATCTAGCGAGCGACACTTCGCACCCCGGGGCCCGGGCAGGGCAGGGGGAGGGGCGACACCTGCCCCGAGCTGGGTTCCCGCATGGGCCTTTCGCGCCTCTGCACCCTCTTCTCGGCCTGCGCCCCCCGGCAGACTGCTAGGCCTGGGTGACAGTTGGGTCGGGGCGAAGCGAGGGCGCTGCTGCCATCCCTCCAGGGGCCCTGGACCCGGTGACACCCAGAACGTGCATGCGCGTGGCTGGGGCCTGAGCCACACGGAGCAGTGGGTGCCACCTAAAAGAAAGGAAGGCGCTGGGCCTCTGATGGTGATGGTGCGTGAAGGTTCTCCAAGGATCGGTGACATTGTCTCCACAAAATGCATCTTAGGCTCCAACGGAACATGGTCTG